TGGGGGCCAGGGGGGACAATAGGTCCCCCCCTTATTGTTCATTTTAGGGCCACCACCCACTGCTCAGGGGCGGGGACCGGGGGGGACAATAGGACCCCCCTTATTGGTATTTTTAGGGCCCCCACCCACCGCTCAGGGGTGGGGGCCGGGGGGAGGACAATAGGTCCCCCCCTATTAGTATTTAGGGACCCACCGGGGGGACGGTATTGCGAGTAGGCGCACAATTTACTAATACTAAGTAATTTTTACTTAGTATTAGTAAATTAATAGGGGGCGGACCGAACATCGCATATGTTCGCCGTCGGTGGTGAACGCGAACACGCTATGTTCGCCAGGAACTATTCGCCAGCGAACCGTTCGGGACATCACTAGTAGTGTGTTCTTTTTTTTTTTTAAATCATACAGCATCCTTTCATGTGCTTTTCAGATGTCATATTGTTAATTACCAATTTTTGTTTAGCCTGATTTTTTCTTAAAAAAGTGAAAAATAAGTGTTATTGTGATCGCTTCATATACAGAAGCATTAATATACATTTCTATATTGTGTAAAGACAAAACTACAAAGTTAAAAACCAAACCAATGTGCCAGACAATCTACCTGTGCATGGCTAGTGTGATTCAATAAGTCTACATCTTAAAAATGCAATAACCCACAGAAGATGGGCGAGAATTTTTTTTTCAAATGGAACTTTGATTCGAATTTACTACATCGGTCACTTGTAATATTGTTTCACACCTACAACACTTGTTACACAGATCTAAGTGATAGAAAACAGATTGATATTTTCTACACTAGAAACTACCAGATAACAAACTGCTATATTTAAACCAGTTATCAATAGCTAAGAGGTACTTAAACAATATTGTAATTGTGGGGCAATACCCTTACAAGTCAAACTGAGAGGTCAGTTTATAGGGAAAACTGTTGCCTGGATACAATTCTGAAAACAATTTCCATATGTCCTTTGCAGACTTTACATGCTGGAAAAACACAGGTGCCAACTGCTGTGGCTTTCTGCAGTGTGCATACCAGCAAGGAGGGCAGGGTTGAGGAGTGGGTGGAAGATGATGTGGAGGATGATGAGGTCCTAAACCCCACATGGAATCAAGGTCATGCGAGTGACGTGTGCAGTTAAGAGGAAGAGGTGCTGGTCGCACAGAGGCACCAGCACAGCATAAGAGGGAGCAGGGTGCAAAAGCGGAGCGGTCGTCCCCTAGCGCTCATCGGAATGTATTATCTTTAGAATTCCTACAGTTATCCAAGTAACAGTTGAAGAGATAAAAAGAACCATAACAGATTTAACGAGCCATTCGCAGTATCGCATTCCGGTGACTGGTGTTATGGACAGATGAATTAAAATAAAATGGCTATTTACTAATGTCTATTTATTCTGTGTTCACTATGTTAAAACTGGCTGCTAGAGTAAATATTCCCTTCCCCCCTCTACAATGTGTTCAGTTGCTGTTTACTATGTAAATTCGTCATCCTGCTAACCATCCCCCTTCAAATCAAGCAAACCTTGTGTAACCAAAATTCCTGTGATAACAGCTCCCTTTACTAACTCCTCCCCCACTACCTTTGTGCCAGTTAACAGCTATATGCCACGTGTAACAAAATGGAGAATCACTGTTAAAGTAACTGAAAGAAACTACTCACTCCCCCTCCCATCGTGTATCCAGAAGTCTGTAATGATGACACTACATCCTGTAAGGGGGGGTTTAGACAAGAACCCTTAGACTGTTAACCAATTGGTGAATGTATACTGTATGTTTAAACAGTGACGTATTTTTGTTTTAAGAAGGAGCCCCCACTCCGGGGAATAAAGCATTCCTGGGTTTTTCACTGATCAGAAACTTTGTCTCCGGTGTGAATTACTTCTAGGGAAAGCGTGCACGCATTAATCAATCAATTTGGAAGGTGTAGATAGACAAATTATCAAAGTTTTCTTTGATCTAAAACATTTGGCGCGATTTCGAACAGGGACAAAAGGGTTACGTTAATAAGGAAGCCGTCAAATCCCAAGACAGGATAACAAAGGATTCCCAGAGATTGGAAACGGAGCCTGATCACCTCTGCATATGGTAAATGAGTTACTTACCTATATTTTCCTTTCTTTGGATTTCTCTTATTCTCTGTGCCTTCACATTCGGCTTCCGGTGGTTAACGTCTTCAGACAGGTAATATATATATGCCCGAATGTCCCCTTTTATATAGAACCTGTCACTTGTCTATCTACAGCCTGAGTCCTGAGTGTGAGTTTTATGTGTGAAAGTGTCTGTTTGAGAATCTATTTTACTTTCTTTTGATTATTGATGTCGGGTTCACCTGGCAATTGAATTCAGGGTGCAAATATACCTGGAGTTTTTAGGCCAGATTATATTAATATTTTAATATTTTAATATTAATTCTTGGCGTTTCTTTTGTTGTTTTTCTTTTGAGTTCAGGTGTGCATAATAGCCCCTGGCGGTTTTGTTTTTTTGTTTTTTGTCCAATTTATATTAAAATTAGATCGTGGCGGTTCTTTTGTTGTTTTTAAGTTCAGTTTGGAAAAAAAGCTGGGGTAATTAATTTTAGTTTAATAAAATAATAATATTTTAATTTTTTATTTTTTTTATTTTTTCCTAGATCAGGATAGTAAATTTCCTGGTGGATTATTTTAGATCAGGATAGACGAGATCCTGGCGTATTTGTTTGTTGAAATAATAAAAACAACGAACAAAGAGTTAAGTTGTTGTATGTGTGTTTGCGTGTTTCTATGTATGTGACCTGAGTTATTATAAGCCGGCATTTATTTTAAGGACTTTGTGATTTAATCACATCTGTATATTGTGCTTTTGCATGTAAATGTCTTGTTGGGTACCATATATGTTAATTGTAATCAATACAATCTGTATCGTTACTCTCCTATTCTATCTTTTGTCCTAAGGAGAGCTGTGCTTAGGCAATCACATGGTTAAAAAACTTTGTGCTTGCAAGTCTTCCTCCCCCCCCCCCCTCCTTCTTTGTTGCTTTCTCTTGCTATGACTGCTATGAGTATTTGCTACAGGGGGGGTGAATGGGTGAAATGCTTGTAAACTCAATGAGGAATGTGAGGGAAAAAAAAGGTATATTTGCTGGATGAATATCCTAGTTAGGAACCTTGTGCAATCTTGTATATGTTGTTAAGTAAGAGGTTATTGGCATGTTGGAATAAGGAAAGTTAGATTTTGTTGGAACAAATGAATTGTGGAATTCATAAATGATATTGCAGAGAAAAGTAAATTGCAGTTTGCATGTAATAGCAGCTATTCAGATGCTGTATTGTGGCAATCTTTATACACACAATGTGAAATTGCCAATAGTGAAATTGACAAGAAATTGTTTGTTAATAAGAAAAAACAAAAGATCAGAAATGTTATGAAACTAGTCTGTACTTACAATGCATTGATTTGTAAACGTAATGCAGGTCAAGACAATTTAGAATCATCAGAAAAAGAAGTAGATTTTTAATGGGTTAACAGAAGACAAATCAGATTTAAATGAACAGTGTAACAATGTAACAGAGAGCACATGCTGTAAACAGTCAGAAACAGTCTGTGAATTAGAGGATAGAGTTGAACTAAGAAATGATCTTATTTGCCAGCTTAGAAATGAAGTTAAGCAAGTGTGTGTTAATACAAGAAAAATACAGACACAGAATCTAATCCCAGAACCAATAGATACTGAAAATGTATCCTCACTGAGTGATTTGCAGAAATATACATTTCAAGACAGAGCTGCAAAACTTAATTTGAAAATACATGAACAATTAATGAAAATTGTGAAATGTATTCCAGTTTATGACACGACAGTGGATGCATTTACTAATGCTGGAATGTTTGAGTCAAATGTGGACAAATACAGCCTAAATGACGAACAAAGGAATAGATTGTTTAAAATATGGCTGCCGACTCAAATGGCATGTAGACTGACCACGCTTGTAAAATTTCAGGACAATGATAAAATAATATATGGAAATAAGCAAGACAGATTAACACAATTAATAAAATTAACAACAGGGAATGATTTTGCAGACAATGAAATGTTGGAAAAACTAAAACCACACAAGGGAGAGGATATATTTAGTTTTCTTGCAAAATTTGAAAGTGCATATAGACTTGTTGCTAATTTTCCTGAGAATCAGTTAATTAATGAATTTGTGAAAATATTTCAAGATCTAGATCCAACTGCTATTGTGTTAGCTAGAGAAAAAAGCACTTTGACAGAAGTAGCTTTGTTCTTGGATAACTTAAGGAGAGTAACCAATAATGAACGGGTTAAAATGACTTGTGGATTTAGGCAGAGAAATTAGTGCAGATTATACACCCCTCCTTCTTCTTCTTCGTGGACTCAGTGTAAAAGAGTGATACAGACAGCTGAGCCACTCCCAATTTGTTCAAATCAAAGGCAGAATATAACTCCTAAAGTTATTTGTTTTTGGTGCAATAAACAACATTATTTAAGATCTTGCAGATATTTTATCCGCGATATCAAATCAAAAGCAAATGAGAAATTAAATTTGTTGATTGAAAATTTTGACAGAGAAAATACATGTGGAGATAAATCAATTAAAGCCTTTCCTTGTAAACTTATAATCAGACAAATAAAAGCAATTTTAGCTAAATCGAAATTAGGAGACAGACAAGCAATGCAGCGTAACACAGAAAGTTATAAGAATCAGATAACTTCAAGAGATATGATCAGTTTAGGGAATGAGCATGGATATGTCTGCCAACAGATGTACACAGGCTGATTCCAGAATTAAAAACAGCACAAGAATAGAGATCTATGTTAGTTTGTTGTTTGAATTAATTGTTAGTCTGTACTGTTTTTTCATTGTTTTTATATGTGTTTTAAGAAAGTATTAGGTTAATTAAAATTAAAATTTTAATCAAGTTTGCACATATGGCAGAATGAAATACACTAATGTAGCAGTGAGGAACATGCGATGTTATATTGGGTGTATGCAATTATACAGTAACTCCAATCATTTTACAGAAGAAAAAACAATGTTGTTGCTTCTGAGGTTGATTTAAAATCTTTGATTTAATTCATGAGAATGAGATTTTAATGTCATGACTGATAATGGATTACTATATTTTGCAAAGCCTGGACATACACATGTTTTGGATATACTGAAGACAAAAGGAATAATATATGGGAATGGATAAGGCTGATTTCCCCCTATCCACAACCACGCCTACTCCTAAAGTAACATTGCGTACATCCTTACTATGCCCTTTTACTGTAGAATTTCCCGAATCCTAATGACCCATTCCACTACATGGTGTGACTTGTTTAAGCCTAAGATAAATTGGCTGATCAGGCTACCTGTATTAACAATGTCATCAACGATGAGTTAGCATCTGTGGAGAAGTATCACTTCAGGTTGTCCCAAATTTTCTTTTAACTTAAGTTTTAGTACATAGTAAGGCCCATGCCCAACAACTATATGCAGCCTTGTATAGCAGGCCCCATGACATCTATTTGTACCAAGCAAGGCCTGCCTGACTCCTCATTCCTGTCTAACATTGTTGTCTCCTGCATAAGTGTAGATGGCTCTCCTTGGAGTAGCCTGTTAACTAAGCCTTGCTTTGTGGTTACCTTCACCTGTCCAATTAATCTGCTAGGTGCAGATGTCCTTCCCCCACTTGCATGCCCCTATCACCTTATTATTTCTTTTGTTCCACACAGTGAAACCTGACAAAGAGGCAAAGGTCCTAGCTAGTTCCCCCAATACCTTTACCTGAATTATACAGGCCCCAAAGCCTGTCCAAGCTCTTACTATTCCCTAACAGGTTAAGGCTCTGGTGTTGAATGGTGCCCTGGTTACCTGAGACTTTCCATGCAATATCCCACCTCTCCTTGTGATGGATGAATTCTGTGCAGGGATGATACTCTATTTACCTGGCCACTCTTCTGCCACTTCCCGGGGGGGAAATGATAAGACACTGACTATTATTTTTTTTAGCCTTTTTCTTATGATCTGTTCCGGATTTGCTGTCACTACAGTGGACCAAGTATCTCACCTCAACAATGTCTGCACAAGAAGCTGAGCTATAGGCTCCCATCACAACATGCAAGATCTCTGAAGGAAGACTGAACTCAGAGGAAGCATGTGGCAGCTCTCTGGCTGACTAAGTTGTTCAAGAAGTTGTAAGTGCACTAAGGGAAGTGGACAGAAAAGTGTCTGCTGAAGAAACTCCCATATTCACCATGTAAGATCCTACCCACAGACATCAAGCTCCCGAAGGAATAACAAGCAAGCTACTGACCCTGAAAAGAAAGGGGCAACTCTTAAAGACAGGCTGTACTTCAACAATCTCAAGTTCTACTTGCCCAAGAACATATACTCAGCAGTGGTCCAGTGGGCCTACGGAGCATCTGTCCAGAACCCTCATGAACTCTTTTGATCAATAAATACTCTGAAGTACCAGGAATTGCCTCTCTGACCAACAGTTACTGTAAATCTTGTGCCATTTGTGCCAAGGGCAACTCAGGAAGAATGGAGGAAAGCCCCAAGCATCTAGCCAAACCTCATTATCTCTTCCAGAGGAGTCAAGTCGACAGAATGCCAAAGAATGGCTTATTCAAATATGCACTAATTATAGCAGACATGTTTTCAGGATGGCCAGAGGCCTATCCAGCCACCAAAGTGATAACCAAGACCACATGCTGAGTAGTGCACCGTGAAAGTTACAGAGATCACCCCGTAGATTCATCATTCCAGAATCAAGCCTGCCTCTGCATCATGTGAAGTAACATTTGTTGATCTTGACAACCCTTTTTGAAACTCCATTCTTAGAGAACAAAGATACTTGTTGAAAATAAATAAATAAATAAATATCAAAAAGTGGGTGTTTTGATGGCCATAATAATGCCTGACCACCTGCCATCGATGGAAAGCCGAATACCCCAAATGGGGACCTCGTGAAACTAAAGAGAAACAAACATACTCCTTACCCTGCAGCCCTCACGTCTGAGGTGCCATACGCACAGTCAAAGCTTCTTCAGGATCATACATAGAAACATAGAATGTGACGGCAGATAAGAACCATTCGGCCCATCTAGTCTGCCCAATTTTCTAAATACTTTCATTAGTCCCTGGCCTTATCTTATAGTTAGGATAGCCTTATGCCTATCCCACGCATGCTTAAACTCCTTTACTGTGTTAACCTCTACCACTTCAGCTGGAAGGCTATTCCATGCATCCACTACCCTCTCAGTAAAGTAATACTTCCTGATATTATTTTTAAACCTTTGTCCATCTAATTTAAGACTATGTCCTCTTGTTGTGGTAGTTTTTCTTCTTTTAAATATAGTCTCCTCCTTTACTGTGTTGATTCCCTTTATATATTTAAATGTTTCTATCATATCCCCCCTGTCTCGTCTTTCCTCCAAGCTATACATGTTAAGATCCTTTAACCTTTCCTGGTAAGTTTTATCCCGCAATCCATGAACCAGTTTAGTAGCCCTTCTCTGAACCCTCTCTAAGGTATCAATATCCTTCTGAAGATACGGTCTCCAGTACTGTGTACAATACTCCAAGTGAGGTCTCACCAGTGTTCTGTATAATGGCATGAGCACTTCCCTCTTTCTACTGCTATTAAACAATTGGAGAAAACACCTAGGGCAGCAGCAAGATAGCTTATCCAATTAGTTGTAATGTAGCTGACAATGCGAAGCAATCTAACGATAGATGAGCAAGGAATAAAGCAGTGATGTCAGAAGTGGTGTCAGTGATGTCATCTGCTTATCTTGAGTTTGTGGTGATATTAATATTGAATGTTTAAATGATCTGAATCTGCCAGTACTAGGGTAGCATGAGACAAGATTTCTAAGAATAAGTAAATGTGCCCTAGCCTAGGTTATTATGTCCATACACATAACACATGACAATCCCCAAGGTACTCTTGACACACCTCATTCATGCTTCAGGACAAAAAGGAGTACCCCTATAAAGGGTGGTTTTACCCACACATATATATATGTATATTAATGCCATAGGGGTGTCAAGGGGGGTACCAAATGATTTTAAGGTAAGAAACTAAGTTTGAATCTATTCTCCCAAGCATTACGGCTAATAAAATCTGAATTGGAAGGGAAGAGGTTTATACAATAAACAGGAGACCTTTTTCTTACAGGACATGTATGACTCAGCTGAATGGGTAGGTGCCACGCACATGACTGTTAATCCCCTCAAACCACACATTAGGACTTTAAAAGACATGGTAGTCATCCCATATTTGAGGATAAGAGGGCTGTAGAGACAGGTTTCTCTGACACTAACTTGTGACTTGAATGGATGAAATACAATGCTACTAAACATAACAAGTCTAACTGCTATGTCTGCAGAGGAGCGAGGCCTCACCCAGGTACAGTATACCTGAACCTTCCTCCAGATATGAAGTATGCGTTTTAAGTCTCTACACTGTATTTAAACCTAAGCGGTCAGCATGCGAGTCATGGAAACTTAATACCCAATCATTACTAAAAATATTATGCCCAGACGAAGGCATTACTATATATCCCGGGAACTATACTTGTTATGGGATATATGGTGGGATAGGGCGGTTACAAGCTACCTCTCAGATGACCTTCCAGAATAGAATAAGCTTAAAAATGATTTTGGCAGAAAAAGGGAGAGTATGTAAAATACTCCCAGACACCATAACATGCTGTACCTATATTCCAGATAATACAGGCCCTAATGGTAAGGTAACGTTGGCAATAGAAAAGTTAAAGAGTTTGTCCAATGAGCTGAAACGAAATTCTGGGACCGCAGATCCATGGGAAAGATGGTTTGGATGGATGACTGGATGGCAAGGTGCTCTGGCCCAAATAGGTGTTGCCATTTTAATAACGATAATCATCCTCGCTCTTCTTGTTTGTTGTGTGTTACCCTGTCTTAAATGCCTACAAAAGACAGTTGATCAGACAATCAACCAGACCACCCCGACGTTCCTTCACCAATAGATTGACGACATTGACCGTGATACACCACATACACCCTTACAGTCCCACCGCACTAAATCAACAGCTACTTCCTCTTAAGGACATTTAGGGATAGCGTCTGTCTCTACGGGCAGAAGTCTGTCGCGGGAAGAAGTAGTGGACAAGCTGCTACGGGTTACCCGCGCAGTGAAGTGTTCGAGGCCTGTTCAGACAGATGTGCAAGATAGCCTTTTGTTATTTTTCTATAGGGACAGTATTAGAATGAGAGATAGTAGTTTTAGTAAAAATTGCCATTTTAAGGGGGGACTGTTATGGACAGATGAATTAAAATAAAATGGCTATTTACTAATGTCTATTTATTCTGTGTTCACTATGTTAAAACTGGCTGCTAGAGTAAATATTCCCTTCCCCCCCCTACAATGTGTTCAGTTGCTGTTTACTATGTAAATTCGTCATCCTGCTAACCATCCCCCTTCAAATCAAGCAAACCTTGTGTAACCAAAATTCCTGTGATAACAGCTCCCTTTACTAACTCCTCCCCCACTACCTTTGTGCCAGTTAACAGCTATATGCCACGTGTAACAAAATGGAGAATCACTGTTAAAGTAACTGAAAGAAACTACTCACTCCCCCTCCCATCGTGTATCCAGAAGTCTGTAATGATGACACTACATCCTGTAAGGGGGGGGTTTAGACAATAACCCTTAGACTGTTAACCAATTGGTGAATGTATACTGTATGTTTAAACTGTGACGTATTTTTGTTTTAAGAAGGAGCCCCCACTCCGGGGAATAAAGCATTCCTGGGTTTTTCACTGATCAGAAACTTTGTCTCCGGTGTGAATTACTTCTAGGGAAAGCGTGCACGCATTAATCAATCAATTTGGAAGGTGTAGATAGACAAATTATCAAAGTTTTCTTTGATCTAAAACACCGGGACCCAGACACTGGGCGGCGGTTGGACGACCGGGACCCAGTATGCCTGATGTAGAAGTTAGGAATCATAGTGTGGAATGGATTAGAAGGGTCTGGTGCAGGGTAACTGCACGCCCCCTGGTGTTGAGCACCAGCATTTGTGCGGCCACATACCAGGACCCTGATGCAGCTTCATTAAAAAGAGTACTGGATACCAGAAGCCATCACCAGACTGATCCGCGCGCTTTCGGCGTTCTCACCCTGCTGCTGCTCGCCTGTCACTTTGGCCTTCCCGCTCACTGCCTCATATGTGACGTGCCCACAAGGTGGAACTCCACCTTGCACATGCTGGAGAGACTGTTTGAGCACAGCAGGCGATAATGGAGTTTCAGCTGCAGCACACATGGGTCAGTGGCTCTGCACCAGACTTCCCTCCAATTGATCAGAGTTAAAGGATTTCAAGTGGACTAATTACAATTATAGGGCCTCTAAAGAGTCCTGTATTGTTATTTGTCGTCACTACCTTCTCGCGTCGGGAGTGGGTCATTTGCGCGCGTTCTGCCTTCCTTGAATGTGGTAGCCGTTTGTCAGGGTCCCTGTACGGAATCGAACCCTGATTCCCCCGTTACCCATGGTCACCATGGTAGGCGCAGTCAATGGCATTGAAAGTTGATATGGATTGACATACGAATGCGTTGTTGCCTTTTCGTTGGGGAGCACATTGAAAAAGTGCTCTAGCATGACGAGCTGGGGGATCTCCTCCGGGAACTTGGCTTGATGGGAGTTGAGTCAGTTCTGGGTGGCGCTTGTGATGCCATGGTGTATACCCAGATATATCAGAGCTGCTGCAGAAAGTGCGGGCCGTCTGTGCGCGCTTTTGGCGTTCTCACCCTGCTGCTGCTCACCTGTCTGCGCTGCAGCGTAACTTCGGCCTTCCCACTCACCGCCTCATGAAACTGTGCGAGCAGCAGCAGGCGATAGTGGAGTTTCAAATGCAACATGCACAGGTCAGTCGCTCTGCGGAACAGTTTTCTTTTTTATATGTCCCAATATTTTGGGGGCTACCCCAATTAAAAAAAAAAAAATATAGATATATATATAAAAAACAGTGTTGGCTACCTCCTCCAGCGCTATACCTACACCGCCACGGTCACTGCCTCCTCAACCTATGGGTCACTTAGTATAAACTACGTACACAATAGCAGAGGCTTGTGAAGGCCTTTTTTCCATGCATCAGGAGTTGAGCATTTCTCCATGCATCAGGACTGCAAGAAATGCACCGCAGGCCGCAAATATTTCTTTTATTTGTATGTCCCAATATTTTAGGGGCTACACCAATTAAAATAAAAAATAGATATATATAAAAAACAGTATTGGCTACCTCCTCCTCCACCGCTGCTTCCACCTACACTGCCACGGTCACCGCCTCCTCAACCAATGGGTCACTCAGTATAAACTATGTACACAATAGCAGAGGCTTGTGAAGGCCTTTTCTCCATGCATCAGGACTGCAAGAAATGCACCGCAGGCCGCAAATATTTATTTTATTTGTATGTCCCAATATTTTAGGGGCTACACCAATTAAAATAAAAAATAGATATATATAAAAAACAGTGTTGGCTACCTCCTCCTCCTCCACCGCCGCTTCCACCTACACCGCCACGGTCACTGCCTCCTCAACCTATGGGTCACTTAGTATAAACTATGTACACAATAGCAGAGGCTTGTGAAGGCCTTTTCTCCATGCATCAGGAGTTGAGCTCAGTTTGAACAATGAAAGAGAATACCCTGCACTCCAACCATCTCTCAAATGGATAATTCTGGTGATCCTCCTGACAGCCATGCTTTAGATTTTGATTTATGTTCTTCCAAAGCTAAAATCAAAGATTCCATCTAGTGCTATTTTATGGCTCAGCTGTGTTTTTATTTTTTTTGTTATTGTAAGTGATTTCCCTAGCCACATTTGTTTGCAGGGCACTTGTCCTACTCTTACCCCCATTTTACTTCCTTTTGCAGCCCTCTAGCCCTTTCCAGGACTTTTTTAGAGGCATTTTTGTGGCCAAAAGTTTGGGTCCCCATTGACTTCAATGGGGTTTGGGTTCGGGGTCAAGTTCAATCACAAACCCGGACTTTTTTTTCAAATTTCGTCCGAACCCGCTGGACCCGAACATCCAGGTGTCCGCTCAAGTCTAGTCAAATACTGTGATTACAGCGCAGTTGTAAAAATTCTAATTGTTTTGGTGCTAAACTGCTAAATAGTAAATTTGGGGCATGCTCTTCATATTTGAGAGTCAAATAGAAGCATCAAATGCTGCAGTTACAGCGCAATTGTAAACATTCTTATTTTCTGGGTGCTAATCTGCTAAATAGGAAATTTGGGCCCTGCACTTCATACCTGAGAGTCAAATAGAAGCGTCAAATACTGCGGTTACAGTTGTAAAAATGTTAATTGTTTTGATGCTAAACTGCTAAATAGTAAATTTTGGGCGTGCTCTTCATATCTGAGAGTCAAATAGAGCCGTCAAATAGTGCTGTGACATAGCAGTTTTAAACAAGCACATTTTTGGGCTGCTAAATAGTACATTTGCGTCCTGTGGTGCACTTCATATCTGAGAGTCAAATAGAACCGGACAAATCAGATGCATCTTATAAAAGATATAAGGAATCAAATAATGCATGCAAAAAGGCAATTAGATTTGCTAAACTTCAAAATGAAAAAATGATAACTAAAGAGAGCAAAACCAACCCCAAAGCATTTTTTAAGTACATAAATTCTAAAAAACCCAAAAATGAAAGTGTAGGTACACTAAAAACTGAAACGGGTGTGCTAGTTAATGAAGACCAGGAAAAGGCAGGAATTTTAAATAACTATTTCTCCTCTGTATATATTAAGGAAGTACCCTTGGCAATAGCTGTGCAAATGGTTGCTACTAAAAACTTGCAGAATAATTGTAATTGGTTAACTCAAGACAAGGTGCTGCGGCAACTAAAGAAAGTTAATATAAACAAAGCTCCAGGGCCTGACAGTATCCATCCATGAGTACTTAAGGAACTAAGTGTAGAAATAAGTGAACCTCTGTTTTTAATCTTTCAAGATTCTTTTCTTTCAGGAAGTGTTCCGGAGGATTGGAGGAAGGCAGATGTGGTTTCTATATTCAAAAAGGGTTCAAAATACTTGCCAGGAAATTATAGACCTGTGAGCTTAACTTCTGTGGCTGGTAAAATATTTGAAAAGTTATTAAGGGACAATATTCAAGAATTCCTTGAGAAGAACATGGTTATCAGCAAAAATCAGCATGGTTTTATGAAGCACAGGTCATGTCAAACTTACTTGATTGCGTTCTATGAAGAAGTAAGTAGAAGTATAGATCAGGGTGTTGCAGTGGATGTGATGTATTTGGATTTTGCCAAGGCATTTGATACAGTTCCACACAATAGATTAGTGTTCAAACTCAAAGAAATTGGTCTAGATGAAAATGCTTGTTTTTGGGTAGAACATTGGCTTAAAAACAGAGTACAAAGAGTTGTCATTAATGGTAAATTTTCAAGATGGACAGAATTGGCAAGTGGTGTCCCTCATGGGTCTGTTCTGGGACCCCTTATATTTAACACGTTTATAAATGATCTTGAAGACAGCATTGAAAGTCATGTTTCAGTGTTTGCAGATGACACAAAACTCTGTAAAATAATAGAATGTGAGCAAGATATTACTTTGCTGCAGACGGATTTAGATAGACTGGGGGACTGGGCACTCAAATGGCAGATGAAATGTAATGTTGAAAAATGCAAAGTTATGCACTTTGACGTAAAGAATACACAAGCAACGTATACTCTTAATGGAAGCTAATTAGGGATAACAACACAAGAAAAGGACTTGGGAATTGTTATAGACAACAAACTATACAACAATATGCAATGTCAATCAGCAGTGGCCAAGGCCAGTAAGGTATTGTCATGCATGAAAAAGGACATTCATTCTCGGGACAAGAATATCATTTTGCCTCTTTATAAATCACTGTTAAGACCACATATTGAAGATGCTGTGCAAATTTGGGCACCTGTTTTGGGCACTAGAAAAAGTGCAGAGGCGGGCTACAAAATTAATAAAAGGAATGGAACATATCAGCTATGAAGAAAGGTTAAAGGACCACTATAGTGCCAGGAAAACATACTCGTTTTCCTGGCACTATAGTGCCCTGAGGGTGCCCCCACCCTCAGGGTCCCCCTCCCGCCCGGCTCTGGAAGGGGGAAAGGGGTTAAAACTTACCTTTTTCCAGCGCTGGAGAGCTCTCCTCCGATCCTCCTCTTCTCCTCCCCGTTGGCTGAATGCGCACGCGCGGCAAGAGCTGCGCGCGCATTCAGCCGGTCACATAGGAAAGCATTCATAATGCTTTCCTATGGACGCTGGCGTGCTCTCACTGTGAAAATCACAGTGAGAAGCACGCAAGCGCCTCTAGTGGCTGTCAATGAGACAGCCACAAGAGGAAATAGGGGAAGGCTTAACCCATTCATAAACATAGCAGTTTCTCTGAAACTGCTATGTTTATGAAAAAATGGGTTAACTCTAAAAGGACCTGGCACCCAGACCACTTCATTAAGCTGAAGTGGTCTGGGTGCCTAGAGTGGTCCTTTAACAAATTTAAACCTATTTAGTTTAGAAAAACGTCGCCTGAGAGGGGATATGATAATATTATACAAATATATTCGGGGCCAATACAAACCATTGTGTGGAAATCTATTCACAAACCGGACTTTACATAGGACATGAGGTAATGCGTTTAGACTGGAGGAAAGAAGATTTTGTCTAAGGCAAAGGAAAGGTTTTTTTACTGTAAGAACAATAAAGGTTGTGGAATTCTCTGCCTGAAGAAGTGGTTTTATCAGAATCCATACAGATGTTCAAACAGCTACTAGATGCATACTTGCAAAAACAGAATATTCAAGGATATAATCTTTCAATGTAGGATAATAACTGCTTGATCCAAGGATAAATCTGACTGCCATTCTAGGGTCAAGAAGGAATTTTTTTCCTAGCTTGTTGCAAAATTGTGCTTCAAACTGTTTTGTTTTTTTTGCCTTCTTTTGGATCAACAGCAAAAAACAAATGTGAGGAAGGCTGAACTTGATGGACGCAAGTCTCTTTTCAGCTATGTTACTATGTAACTATGTAATGATGTAACCGTCAAATACTGTGCTTTCATTTTTCAGTAAAAATTCTAATTGTTTTGGGTGATAAAAAGTAAATTTGGGGTGTGCACTTCATATCTGACAGTCAAATAGACCCGTCAAACACTGTGCTTACAGCGCACTTTGAAAAATTCAAATTGTTTTGGGTGCTAAATAGTACATTTGCGTCCTGCGGTGCATTTCTTGCAGTCCAATAAACAAAAAAAATTAATTGTTGACTATTAGCGGTTACATTGTCGCCTGACATAAAACATCTGTTAGTTTGGTGGGTGAATGCAAAGTATGGCCATTGGAGGTAACTAAAAGCCTCCATTTGTTTAAAGATATATAGAGATGTGGAAAGAACCCAGGTAACTTTTTTCTTTGGTGTGTATGTGTATGTGTACTATGGTCATTGCTGCCACCCAGGAGTTTGAGCGCAGGACTTGTTTCTTTGTATTTGTATTCACTTTTGTATCACACAGCTAGGTTATAATGCTGCTGCCCTGCCCATGTGTTCCCTATTAAGGGTTAATAAGCATGTAGGGATGTATATAAAAAAATACACCGCAGCTT